CCATAAACTGGCACAGCCTCTAACAATTATTAGGACCCAGAGTCCCAGGATCCATGTCACAGACTAGAAAATGTTGCCTTCCTTTGCAGACAGTGGAGGGAGTGAGACCTTTTTCTAACTGTGTGTCTTTGGGCAAGTAAATTCCCTTCTCTGTGCCTTAGTTTCTGTATCTGTAAAATGGGCATATAATAACAGAAGCTCCTTCATAAAGAGGTTGTAAGAATTTAATACATTAATTGTCTGTAAAATATTCACAACTAGCATATTAGATGTTCAGTAAATGTTATTTATTTATATTTCCTAATTGAAAAAATGCTCAAGGAAGTTGTTTTCAGTAGAACTGAGACCTACCAGGATATGGTCTCCCCTTATGTGTCAAGCTTGATCAGGAGAAACTGGATCTTCCCTGGGTCCCCTCTTCTGCCCTTCTGTTACTACAGGGTACCAGCTGTGGGACTCCCATCGAGTTGGATTTAAATCTCATCGATTTGATTGAATAGCCAATGTGTATAATTAGCCATGGAACTTGAGAGATGGATGAGCCCATCCCCTGTCCCTCTTGGTGCAAGAGTGAGAACTGAGCGCAGAGAGAGGAGATGATAACCTCAGATCGTGCAGTAAGAGAGATGTAACTTTGGGTGTATGCATATAGAGCAGCTAGGCAGAGGTTGGTCCCCAAACATATGAGCTTGGCCCAGCTCTTGGAAGCAACTTCAGATGGTAGGAAAGAGCCAGATCTTGGTGTGGGAAGACTGAGTCCTATTCCGTAGGGCTGCCAGTGCCCTTTCCCACCAACAGGGTCACTGCTTCTTGGACTGCTATTTGCCTATAATATGAAATAATCTCACAACATCCCTGCAGAGGGAGCCAATGAGCAAGAGGTGGCTTGGGGTCTGGGTCTAAGGGCTGCGCATGAATGTGGCAAGGCACTATCCTCTCAGAGCATGTTTCTGTGACTATCAAGGACAGTCTGGCTTCTCAGGTGGCTCAGTGGTAAAGAATCCACCTGCCAATGCAGGAGGCACAGGAGAGGCAGATTCAATCCCTGGATTGGGAAGATCCCCTCGAGAAGGAAATGGCAACCCACTGTGGTATTCTTGCCTGAAAAATCCTATGGACAAAGGAGCCTGGTAGGCTACAGTCCGTGGGGTTGCAAAGAATCAGACATGACTGAGTATGGTTGCATGCTCCTCAAAGAACAGTCTAGAGTTCTTCTCCACAAGTTGTGGTGAGGTTCAAACCACAGGCACCCGAGGAGAAAGGTGTTGACACCCTGCAGGGGTTTTAGAGACCATGTGGTCCCCACTCCACCATTGTTGTTGTTTAGTCACCCTGTCGTGTCTGACTCTTTGTGACCCCATGGAGTGCAGCAGGCCGTGCCTCCCTGTCCCTCACCATCTCCTGGAGTTTGCCTAACTTCATGTCCATTGCATCAGTGGTGCCATCCAGCCATCTCATCCTCAGATGCCCTCTTCTCCTTCTGCCCTCAATCTTTCCCAGCATCAGGGAGTTTTCCAATGAGTTGTCTGTTTACACCAGATGACCAAAATACTGGCGCTTCAGCTTCAGTATCAGTCCTTCTAGTGAATATTCAGGGTTGATCTCCCTTAAGATTGACTGGTTTGATCTTCTTGTTGTCCAAGGGACTTTCAGGAATCTTCTCCAGCACCACAGTTGAAAAGGCATCAATTCTTTGGCATTCTGCCTTCTTTTGGTCCAGCTCTCATAACTGTATGTGACCAGAGGGAAGACCATAGCCTTGACTGTATGGATCTTTGTCGGCAGAGTAATATGTCTGCTTTTCAACACACTGTCTAGATTTGTCATCACTTTCCTGCCAAGAAGTAATTGTCTTCTGATCTCATGGCTGCAGTCACCATCCACAGTGATTTTTGGAGCCCAAGAAGAGGAAATCTGTCACTACTTTCATCTTTTCCCTTCTATTTGCCATGCAGTAATGGGGGCAGATGCCATGATCTTAGTTTTTTTAATATTTAGTCTTAAGCCAGCTCTTTCACTCTCCTCTTTCACCCTCATCAAGAGGCTCTTTAGTTTCTCTTTGCTTTCTGCCATTAGGGTAGTATCATCTGCATATCTGATGTTGTTTTTCAGATAAATTCATTTGTACCCTTTAAAAAATAATATTCCACATATAAGTGATATCATGATATTTGTCTCTCTGTGTCTGACTTACTTCACTCAATAGGACAATCTCTAGGTCTATCCATGTTGCTGCAAATGCACTGTTTTGTTCTTTTTATGGCTAAGTAATATTCCACTGTATATATGTACCACATCTTCTTTACCCATGTGTCTGTTGATGAACATTTCATTTGCTCATGTCCTGGCTATTGTAAAAAGCACAGCTATGAACCAGGGTTCAGTTCAGTCGCTCAGTTATGTCCAACTCTTTACGACCCCATGGACTGCAGCACGCCAGGCTTCCCTGTCCATCACCAACTCCCAGAGCCTACTCAAACTCATGTCCATTGAGTCAGTGATGCCATCCACCCATCTCATCCTCTGTCGTCCCCTTCTCCTCCCGCCTTCAATCTTTCCCAGCCTCAGAATCTTTTCCAATGAGTCAGTTCTTCATATCAGGAGTTTCATCTTCAACATAGGGTTGCATTTATCTTTTTGAATTATGGTTTTCATTGTATATGTGGCCAGGAGTAGGATTGCTGGGTCATATGGTAGTTTTATTTTTAGATTTTTAAGGACCCTCCATACTGTTCTCCATAGTGGCTGTATCAATTTATATTCCCACCAACAGTGTAAGAGGGTTGCCTTTCTCTATACCCTCTCTAGAATTTATCATTTATAGGTTTTTTGATGATGGCCATTCTGACCAATGTGAGGTGAAATCTCATTGTAGTTTTGATTTTCATTTCACTAACATTAATAATTAGTGATGTTGAGCATCTTTTCATGTGCTTTCTGGCCATCTGCATGTCTTCTTTGGAGAAATGTCTGTTTAGATCTGCCCATTTTCTGACTGGGTTATTTCTTCTGTTGATATTGAGCTGCATAAGCTATTTGTATATTTTGGAGATTAATTCCTTGCCAGGTGCTTCATTTGCAAATATTTTCTCCCATCCTGAGGGTTGTCTTTTTGCTTTGTTTATGTTTTCCTTTGCTGTGCAAAAGCTTTTAAGTTTAATTAGATCCCATTTGTTTATTTTTGTTTTATTTTTATTACTGTAGGAGGTGGATCAAAAAAGATCTTGCTGCAATTTACATCAAATAGTGTTCTGCCTATGCTTTTCCCCAAGAGTTTCAGAGTTTCCAGTCTTACATTTTGATCTTTAGTCCATTTTGAGTTTTTTCTATGTATTGTGTTAGAGAGTGTTCTAATTTCATCCTTTTATATGTATCTGTCCAGTTTTCCCAGCCCCATTTATTGGAGAGACTGTTTTTCCCCCGTTACATGGTCTTGCCTCCTTTGTCATAGACAGGGGACCACAGGTCACCATCATATCCACCAGTACCTCTAGTGTCCGTCGTCAGTTCTGGAATATTCCTAGTCATTGTCTCTTCAGTTATTCCTCTGCTCCCTCCAGTCTGCTGATTAAAGAGATGTCCGTTTTTCCCTCACTTTTTCCTCTATGTCTTGAAACTTCTCTTTCATGTTTTCTCAGATCCATCTTGCATTTCACATATAACTCTTCTCCTAGGTCTAATCCCTCTCAGAGCATAGAAAAGGAAGAATGATTTTCCAGGCTAACATAACCTTGGTACTGAAACCCAATAAGAGCAGTATGAAAAAGGAAAATCATAGGCCCATCACACTCATGAACTAGATGCAAAAATCCTAAACAAAATATCAGCAATCAAAATTTAATAATGGATAAAATAGTAATATATTATGACCAAGTAGGGTCCATTGCAGAAATACAAGGTTGCTTTTATATTAAGAAAACTAAGTGTACAATTTACCATATTTAACTGAATTAAAGAAAAAAAGGCTTATTTGGGCCTTTCAGTAGATGCAGGGGAAGAAAATGCAATAAAATTAAAATGTGATGCCTAATTGAAAGAAGAAGGAGTACAATTAACCTGTTATAGAATACCTATAAGAATCTATGGCAAACATTATGCATGCTGGGTCACTTCAGTCATGTCCAATTCTTTGCAACCCCATGGACTGTAGCCTGCCAGGCTCCTTTGTCCATGCAATTCTCCAGGCAAGAATACTGGACTGGGTTGCCATGCCCTCTTCCTCCTCCTTGCCATGCCTTCCCTACTCAGGGATCATGCCTCCTGAATTGGCAGGTAGGTTCTTTACCACTAGCACCACCTGTGTGCTTAGTGGTAAAATACTGAGATACTTAAGAAAAAAAAGCAGTGTGTCCACTCTTACCATTTCTATTTAGCATTGTACTGGAGCTTCCTGGTCAGTGGAATGAGGTGGGGAAGATGAACAAATAATGTTTGGAAAGAAAAATGTCCAGTGTGGCTCCTGGGGGAATAGCTTGTGCTCCTGGGGGAATGTTTGTACCATTTACCGAGATGAGAAGACCTGATGAGAGGACACAGTTGGGGACACACAAGAGAAAGTCATCCAGCTGCCCTGGAAGACCACCAGGCATGGAGTCAGGATACTTCAGCTCTGCTCTTAGCTCTTCTACTAATCCTACTTGAGCCACTTTCCTCCAGGACCTGAGTTCTTCCGTCTGTAAAATAGGTGGATGTAGACAGATGGATTCATGGTGGGCTGCAGTGGCCAGATCTGGTGGGAAAACAGAAAAACAGGTGAACAGGTGGTGGCCCCACTCTCCAGGAGCGCAGGTTTCTGTATACAGACTGTCCAGTAGGAGGAAGCACGCGTTGGGGATGGGTCAGGAGTCTGACTGCGTCATCTTGACTGTGTGCCTTGCAGAGGGACCACCCCCTCTCTGCTTTGCTAAGGGGTGTTCATTGTTACTATCACTGGTGCTCAAAAGCCTGTTCTGCAGTTGTATGACATTGACCTGCAACAACCTGCCCTTTTGATGTTTTAGAGCTTCAGCAGCCAGAACGAGAGCAACGAAGACTATGAGATCCCCCCAATAACACCTCCCAACCTCCCTGAGCCATCCCTCCTGCACCTGGGGGACCACGAAGCCGGCTACCACTCACTGTGCCACGGCCTCGCGCCCAACGGACTGCTCCCTGCCTACTCCTACCAGGCCATGGACCTCCCAGCCATCATGGTGTCCAACATGCTGGCCCAGGACAGCCACCTGCTATCGGGCCAGCTGCCCACGGTGAGTCCCTGTTACCCGCCATGGTTCCTGCTAGGTCACAGCAGGGAAGGGAGTCGAGAGGGAGCAGAATGCCAGTGCCTTGAGGAGAGCCCTCTGCTCAGGTGCAGGGTCTGGGCTCTGTCGGTTACTTGCATGGGGGTCCACAGAATGTGGGGGGTGGCGTGGAGGGAAGTTTATGTCATGCTACTTGCTTCTGAAGCTTTGTTTGTAATATCTTGGTATTATGTTTTATTATTATTTTAATAGTATAGTCTCACCTTTATAGGCTTTATTGAAGGAGAATTCCCTGGTGGTCCAGTGGTTAGAACTCAATGCTTCCACTGCAGGGGATCTGGGTCCAGTTCCTGGTTGGGGGACCAAGATCCTACAAGCTACCTAGCAAGGTCAAAAAAAAGGCTTTATTGAAATTGAAATATTGTTCACCTACTATGCAATTCACCTATTTAAAGTATACGGTTCAGTAGCTTTTAGAATATTCACAGAGCTGTGTGACCATCAACACAAGCTATTTTAGAACCTTTTCATCACCCCACAAAGAAACCTTATCCCGCTTAGTCATCATTCCCAACCCCACCCCCATCTGTAGCCCTCAGCAACCACTGATCTACTTTCTGTCTCTATATAGTTGCCTCTTCTGCACATTTCATATAAGTGGAATCATATTATTTTAAAAATATTGTGTCTTGTTTCAGCTGGCAGGGAAGAAGGTGATGACTGACTTAGAGTTTTGAGGATAGGTGAGACTTTGGCAGGCAGACCAGCGCAGGAAAGGACCTTCCAGGCTGAGGGAACAGCACGTACAAAAGCAAGAAGCAGGAGGCTCATGTCGTGCTCAGGCGTGGCATGTGGGTCATTCTTACTGGGCTGGAGAGAAAGAACATGGAGTTGCATAGGAAGAGAGGATGTGAAAGAATTAGTAGGGCTTGGATCATAAAGATCCTGAATCCCATGCTGAGCAAGGTGTGATTTTTCAGCATGAATGGCTGCTTTGAACAAGCAAGACCTATAGAAAGTCAGTAGAGAATTCTTTTGTATAATGGGGAAAATCTCCTTAAGGGAATTCTAGTACTTCTTCTGAATGACTGGGGTATATGTTTCTTTTTGCTTTTTCCTTTACAGTTAATATTATATTGATAGTAATACCTTTTAACTTCATTCCTAAGTGACAAGAATAAAATTCAAAGAAGCTGATGCAGGAAAAAGAAAAAAGACTGAAATATCTAGGTATTGAGGGCTGGACAGAGGATTTCAGGCATGGCTGGATCCAGGAACTCCAGCAATATCATTAGTATCATCCACACAGCAGACATGACGGCTATCAGCAGCCAGCATCTTCTCTGATGTCTCTGGCAGGTGGTAGTTTGAGTCTTCCAAGGAGGACAATGATAGCATGCGTGGACCAACCACTGTATCTAGTAGGAAAACAGTCCTTGATTTTGTCAGAAACACACCTGTGGGAGGGCAGGAGGGACCGCTAAATTGATTTCTGTAAGAATCACGTGATGTTGGATGGATCATGTTTATCCCTACCAAGGCTGTTCAGAGGTCACAGCCAAATTTGTGGCCCAGTTCTATCAGATGTCTGAGACCTTCTTTTATATTGTTTATCATCTAACAATCTTGACTATATTCTATTTATTTATTGTTTACTCTTATTACCACCAAATCTCTTTGCTTAAAAAGAAAGAGAAAAACAACCTGGCATACTCTGTGTATTATCAAGAGCCACATCACTTTTATTTTTGTGAAGCTAGGTGAGACGTAGGAGGGAAGATGAGAGAGAGGGAGGGCAGGAGGGAGCCAACTGAAGGCCCACATTTTCTACTGCTCACTAAAGTGCTCAGTGGAAATTGCTGCTCCATTTCTTGAGAAACAAGCCCATAAATAATGCAGATCATCCGCTTCCCCTTCTCTCTCGGAGACCTGCAGATTCCACAATGTGTGGTTTTAATTCCACTTTGTTATAATGCTTTTGCCTTAACTGCTTGCCCAGCTAATTTCCTAGCAAAAACTTCACGACTCCAGACGGTCCCGATTCGGGATTTGTGGTAACCCAGGTGAGGGCAGGGCCCGACTGACATCTCTGTCGTGTGCCCTGGGGAGGCCCATGGATGCAGGGGTGCGTATGCCTGGGGTTCTGGGTCACAGTGTCACTGGCCAGGGATGCTAGTCTTCAGCGGACACAGTGCGGGGTAGTGGTTAGTGCATAGGCTCTGACATCCCACAGACTAGTGTTAACCCCAGCCCCACATCCTGAGCTTCAATCCTCTTTTCTTGCAGTGACAGGTTTCTGAGATAATGTATGTAAAGTCTCAGCAAATGTCCGGCAGAGAGTAAACAATCAGGGAATATTTGCTATTGTCATTATTAGTCATAAAAATGAGTTCCCACTGTAACCAGTGGCAGTGTTTTCCCATAAGGCTCACTTACCTAAAGGAATAGGCTCTAGATACTCACAGGTAACTTGGTAGGGTCACCTGGTTATAAGAGCTCTGATCATTACAAAGGAGATTATCTGTTTATCAGAGATGACCCCCTGATCCATTCGCCTACGAAATGCCTTTGTTGGGCTTAGTCCAGATAGGCACTTTGCAGTCATTTTCCAGATTCCTTTAAAACTAGTGCATGTTTAAGATGCTTCACAAATTCAGATCGCTTTAATTCTTCCATTAGTGAGAGTTATCAACGGTTCACTGGGTTTTCTATTCCCTCGTTATGAAATGAAAGATAAGCCAAACTATCTTACCCAGAGGAAGGCTGCCAGACCGAGTGGGAAACCAATTAAGAACATGTCCATCCATTGGGACCATATGCTAAAAAGACAGTTGTTTTAAAAAAGGGTACTTTTATTTATCTACTTTCGGTTATGCTGGGTCTTCCTTGCTGCGCAGGCTTTTCACTCGTCTCATCGAGCGGTGGCTACTGTCTCGTTGTGGTGCACAGGCTTCTCATTGCTTCTCAGGCTTCTCTTGCTGCAGAGCGCTGGCTCTGGAGTGTGGGCTCAGAAGTTGTGGTGCTCGGGTTTAGTTGCTCTGTAGCATGTGAGATCATCCCAGACTGGGGATTGAATCCGTGTCTCCTGGATTGGCATCAGAGGTAAAGAACCCGCCTGCCAATGCAGGAGATGCTAGAGACACAGTTTGGATCCCTGGGTCAGGAAGATCCCCTGGAGTAGGAAATGGCAACCCACTCCAGTATTCTTGCCCGAAAAATCCCATAGACAGAGGAGCCTGGTGGGCTACAGTCCATGGGATTGCAAAGAGTCGGACACAACTGAGCACTCACACATTTGCATGCACACTCCTCCATTGGCAGTCAGATTTATTACCACTGAGCCACCGGGGAAGCCCAACAATTGTTTTAAATTTGTCTGAGCTGAAGCTTGAAGGTGTGTGTGTGTGTGTGAGTGTGTGTGGACATGCATGCTATGTGGGTGATGCTGGAGTTTGTGTCAGACCCCCGAGATGTGAAGCGCCATGCAGGGAGCTTTACACACATTGTCTCACATAACACTTCCGAGTTCTGAGTGAGGCAGGAACGACTGCAATAAGGAAATGGAGACTTAGAGCAGGTAGGTGATTGTTAGTTTCCTGCAGCTGCTGTAACAATTGTCACAAACTGTGGCTTGAAAACAACAGAAATTTATGCTCTCACAGCTCTAGAAGATGGAGGTCCAAAATCTGTATCATTGGATTAAGAAACGTGTCAGGAGGGGTGACCTTCCTCCGGGGTCTCTGGGAAAGAATCCATCTCGTGCTTCTCCAGCTTCCTGTGTTTGCTGGCTGTCCTTGGCTTGTGGCTACATCACTCCAGTCTCTGTCTGTCATCACATCGCCTTCTCTTCTGTCAGTGAAATCTCCCTCTGCCTTTCTTATAAGGATGCTTAGGAACTTACAACATAAAGGGTTAATCCAGGATCATCTCCCTATCCCAAGAGCCTTAACTTTTTTTTTTTTATTAGTTGGAGGCTAATTACTTCACAACATTTCAGTGGGTTTTGTCATACATTAGAGCCTTAACTTTTAATCACATCTGCAAAGACTCTTTTTTTCCCCAAATACAGAACCATTTACAGGTTCCAGGGATTAGAATCTAATATTGTAAAGGGGCTATTTTGGGGGCTTAACCACAGTGATCAGTATTGATTAAGAGCCAGTTAGGTACCAGACCTTGTTCTGAACTCTGGACCTACAAGATGTCCTTGAGGAACAACTAGTACAGGTAGAGAGAGGTGAGGAACCCACTTCTGAACATGTAGTAAATCCTCTGATGGAATCAGTGCATGTTGCTCTATGCAGCTAGAAGAGGCACCCGGCCAACTAAAGAGTTTACATGCTGCAACAAATATCCCACATGCTGCATTGAAGACATGATGCAGCATAATTAATTAATTAAAATCACAAAGAGGAGGCACCTGGCTCAGATGTGAGGTTATTGCTTCCCAGGGGAAGTGATAACCTGATCCTGGTATTAATAGTTTATGTACTTTATGAATGAATGAGTATGACATAGTTCTTAAGTCTCCCAACCAGGATTCATCCCCAGCTCTGTCCCCTACCATGTACTCTCAGCTTTTAGCTACTTTCAGCAGCTTGGCTGCAGGGCCGTCGGGGACACAGAGGATGGCCCGAGGACCAGGTGCCCTCTGCATAGGCCGCGCTGTGTCAAGGAAGTGGTCCCTGGAGCAGTGGCATTTGACACCAAGGCATTTGACAGCCCTCTCATGAACACCAGGCCCTCTTGGCTCTGATGCCAGAGGTCACCAGCTCCTTTTGGTTCCCTGCCCAGCCTGCGTGGTCTCCCAGCTTGTGTGGGAGTTGGTTCTTCGGTTTTCAAGGTATGGCTGCCGGCAGGAGGCCTGTACAATATTGGCTTCAGGCTCCTTTTACAAAATTAAATATGCTTAAGGCTTCTCCCTCGACTTCAGCATCTTAACTGATTAAACATTCATTTCCAAGACAAAAAGAGTCAATTTAGTATGAAAGATATATTTTGCCAGT